AACACGTTCTGGATATATGCCAAGTGCGCGCTAATATGCGAGGGATCGACATTAGTTGTGGACCCATAACAGGTCTTCAGACACCTGTTCCCCCTCTCGCTCTCCGTCACAGCCGCCTGCTCTCCCTCAAGTTGTTCGTCCCATTATAGCAACAGTCCTCCACAGGCCAGGACCAAGGCTTTGTATTTTTCGACTTGATTTCCTCCTTGCGGGTAAGAATAGCGTCTTAAATATGTAGTGGGAGATAGTCGGCAACGAATGGGGCTAGCTCCTGTTTGTAAATGGAGCAACGTCTTTATTGGTCGTTGAGGCGAGATGATACTTGGTTAGAGAGAGGTTGAGGACTCAAGATAATGGTGATTGCTGCATGATTGAGAAGATGTCAAATGGAGATGTGCATGTGTTTGCTCTCGACTTCAATTCGGATGCGATTCTTCTTAGCTATCCCAGATATGCAGAGCATACTGAGCGATTACACTGGCACCACTGGAAGGTGAAGTATTCGTCTTTGCCGGCCAAGTGCCGATTAGCTCAGTCTGTAAAGACTACCCGACGTGTCAGCGCCACAAAAGAGCCCAGAAAATATAAAGCGAGCCCCATCCACAGCTTAGCATTCCAGAAATTAGTAAGAGTTTTGAAGGATTGACTGTCTTTGCCAATCTTCTAGGTAATACCCCTGCAACCTTGAGTCCTTTAATTTAACAACTTCCAAAGCTTCCACGGCCCAGTTTGTCCACCATACTCTCTCGTAGGCTTTGATTTCGTCATAGAAAATTTATACTAAGTAATCCGACAATAGCTTCCCCTTATAGCCGGCAAAGAAGAATTCTTCACCTTCCAGTGGTGCCGGTGTAATCGCTCAGTATGCTCTGCATATCTGGGATAGCCAAGAAGAATCGCATCCAAATCGAAGTCGAAAGCACTCGCAAGCACATCTAAAATCGACGACTCATCGTCAATGTCGGACCTATCATTCTCATGCGAGTCCTCTTCAATCTTACTACACCAACTCGCCTCAATCAACGATAATGGCATTACTCCAATGGTAATCGGGCATTTGCTTCATCAAAAACCGGCCATCTCCCACTACACATTTACGACGCTATGTATAGCTGCGAGGAGAAATTCAAGTCATAATCTACAAAGCTCGAGTTTTGGTCTATGGGGGACCGTTGCTCCAATGGGCCTTCACATCTTGAGGGGGGACAGGCAGCTGGGACGTGGGACGAACGAGTGAAGAGGTCACAAATGGGCATGCTGGGACACACATTTTTCGAGTATTTTTGACTTAAGATTGTCTGTGGGCGCAGAAGCAACGATTTCGGATAATGCAACTGACACTCTAAAAACTGGCAACGATGGAAGGTGTTTTGGTCCGCCTCCTGGTCGTCTTGTCTCCGAATTAAAGTCTGGGTAGCCTGGACACTTACCTCACTCGAGAATGGGAGGACTGTGAGGCCATATCTCGTGCGGCGGCTATAAACAAGATAGCAAAGGCATGTTAGGGTAGCTAAAAGTTTTTCCTGTTTTCCCTTTTGTGGATATTAATGGTTGAGGGAAGGGTAAATGTCCCTAACACCAAGGTCTCGAGTGGTATCAGCGAATGCACCCAATACATGAATAGTCCAAATTTCAAACTGAGATATCGTCGTATATAGTCGCCGGAGAAGCTAGTCTTCTCCGTGTCATGCTCTTTGAGTGCAGGGCTTGTGCCAGTCACAAATAAATTTTCATCATCATCAGCGTCCCCCGATAATTCCCCGTCGACAACAGAGTTGGAATAAAGGGTCGCGAGTCGTGCTGTGGCATTTTTTCGGCATTAAATAGGAACTCGAAAAATTGCTTGGTGTATCAAGGGATAATACGGTAATCGGCTTGAATGGTCTTCATAATTTTCGTCGTGATTTATCAAGTCGAGAAATCAAAGGGCTTGTCCCTCACTGTCCATGAGAGCAAAGTTTGAAATTATCCAATTTGAATATAAAAATATAGCTAGTATCTCATGTAGATTCTAGGAGTCCTCCATAGTCATAGACTCAGTTAGGACTATAACAATAATCTAATCTAATCAAGTCGAGAAATCTCTGGATTCCGGGAGTTCCGACCAAAGCCAGCCCGGAACTACTCCTTCTGACGAGACTTTCAGTTTGGGTAAGATCGATTCGACCGTTGGGGGAATATTTTGTTAGGGCACGCTAATTATGGTAAGCAAGAACTCAAGGTTTAAAAGGTAACAAAGCTAATGAACAAAAGCTCTGCCCACACGTTACATCTGTAATGAGATTGGAATTACGCGAGTAGTGATGAAAATGTGATCAGTGCTTCCATAATGCCGGACTGCCGTGGGTATCCTAATCCAACTCTATATCTATAAACCACATCCCAAGCCACTTAATATATTTTACTCCCAAGCTCGTAGAGAATACTATTGGCAGGTGTTCGGCCTTTGTCTCTGAGAGTTCCATCTTTCTGCCTCTCATATAGTACCGGAGTGAGAGGGATCAGGACGAGTTTACAAGATGATGCAAAGGAAGGATATAACCTTGAAGGGAGTGAAATTCTGAAATTTGGCAAGAGTTTTACGAATTGGGCTTTGTGCGTGCCAAGACTTCGCTTGCAAGAGTGCAGCTCACACTATAAAAACAAGCAGACGATGGAAGTTGTTATGCTCTGCCTTCTGGTGATATTCTCTGTTGTAGTTTGAGTAGCCTGGGCACCTACTCCACTTGGGAAGGAGACATCCCAGATTACATTTCGCGCGGAGAAAATTTGATGGATGATGAAGGCATGTCTGGATAACTCAGGGATTTTGAGACGTTCTCCTGGATGGGTATTCACGGATGAGGGTTGACTTGGGGTGAAGAAAAGCCGGCATAACTTCGCAGTGGTACTTGCAAATAAAATCCGAGGCATGAGTGCTCTTCCTTTACATCGAATCATCTATTCTGTACTTTTCTTTGATATTGTGTCATGGCTAGATAGCTGCATACGCAATTAAAATCTGATGCAAAAAAAAAATTAGTACTGGAAGGTCAATGGCACGTGACCCTGGTTTCCCTCAGCAAATCACTGCACGCAGATGTTCTGCCTAACTCGTAACCACTAACAGTCAGGTAAACATGTGACCCATACACTGTTTTCATCGTAAAAATACTGTATATTTTAGGTCAGTCAGCATGTCTCCTCCGGGGTGGGGCTTAATTTGTAACTAGTGCCCGCTAGACATAAAAATAAATAAATATTCTAGGTATCAACATCTCCACCAAGAAATCAATTTCTGCAGCAACATTTGACTTGCGCCAAGCGTTGTCATAATGATCGAAGTCGCTTCCTCAAACCTCTATTAACAGAAGCAAATGTGGTGGGTCCTGTATCTGAAGTGTGGTGTGGCATCACCTTCAGTATCCACTCGTAAATTTGAAAAAAAATCCAGATGACTTTTAAGCTTCAAAGCTGTTTGGATAGCCTTATCAGTCCTTCCTGGCCATAGACTTAGTCATGACATAAATTAAATTCTATTCTATTTTAGGAGTGAGAAGCACAATTGGAGATCTTACTCATAAGGCCCACGAACATCATGACGTCGAGTAGGTTTCGAGATAGTCAGTCCCACTGAGCTCATTAGTAGTTTCTTCCCTCTCTAGCTCCACATTCCATATAACTTTCCGCCCCCATAATCCAAGACTTGAGCTTATTGAAAGGCTATGCTGAGCTGGAATGACGTACCGTTAGGATGAAGGTATGGAAGGAGGTAGCTATGGCTTTAAGAGAAGTAAAGTTCGTGAGTTATACTCTTAGGACTTGGGTCAATGGACGAACTTGAGGATATTCCCTAGTATTCTCAAGTGTGTAAATAATATGGAGATTATTTGAATTTCCTTTTGTATGAATTGCTTAAGTTATCTACGTGCAGGACCTTTCTCTATACACATGAATAAGGTGGTTTCTGCGCACCAGTGGATGTTCCAACATATGTCCTTGTCTAACCGAGAAAGGAAGGATGCGAGAGATCCTGGCGCCAATAGATACCATTAGGAATATATTGGGAACCAATATGTCATAACAATGAGTGATGATCTAGGTCAATCATATCCCATGGCGCATGTGCACATTATTCTAATTTGAACAGTTTATTGTAATGCAGTCCTGTTACTCCCTTAATTACAACAAAGCTCTGTATATCATGACGAAATTTTTCTTAAGAGAGATGCGTGGGACACTGCATTACCTTCAAAATTTTGAACAAGGTGCTCTACTACCATGGATGAGATCTATGTACCGCAAATGAAGATCATATTTTCTTACTCCTGTGGCTTATATAAGCTAGCGAAATTGATACCTTTATACAGTTTCCTCCTTGCGCGTCTACATAGTATCGTAACTTTTTAGTGAAAAATTGCTGATTTTTGAAAAAACTGTTTCCCGTCTGCAATTTTTGCGACTTTTTAACCTGTAGTTGAGGTGAGTTGGTTTGTGTTCAGATGAGGTTGGAGGGTTCGCGTGAGATTGGAAGATCCGATGTTAATGAGAAGTCGTAGTTTTTAGATATGTTGATGCTCGCTTTCGATTTTGATTCGGGTGCGATTCTTCTGGTACATCCCAGTTATGTTTAGAGTACTGAGCGCTTCCACCTGTATGGTTGAAATATGATGAATTCACTCACGCCAGCGGCGCATTGAAGTGGAGTGCTACTATGAATCATCGCTCTCGACAGTCTTGACACGCAAGATTTTTTCCTCGCGAAATGAAAGCTCTGCCGTACACAGTAATCGTTCTAACCCAGTAACAAGACTTAATTGAAAACTATGAGCAATATAATTGGCAATGAAAGTCCGAACTCGACGTAAGCGTTAAAATAACGTTATTCCTGCTCTTGGATTCATGAATCATTAAGATTGCCTTGGCATATCGAGGAGTATTCTAGCATAGATAAATTGTTCATTATAATGCCATCGTTTGAATCTGTCCTACTGTAGAACTTGGGGTTCAGATTCTCGAAGATGAGAAAACTAATTTTCTACCGCGTTGCCGTCCTAATAAACACGTGTTCATATTTTCACCTTAGCTATGCATCTCCAAGTCCTGGGAAACTTAAGTATCTCGATCAGGCAGTCAATGATTATCTTTGCGAAAATGACTACTTTGACAGGGAATCTGTAACAAATAGTTACAGGACAGGATGTCATAGATTGTGGAACGCCGATTCAAAGAAGAATTTTCCAGCCAAATTGGAAGATAACTATTTCATCAACGGAGCACATAGAACTTTATTCTCATGGCCATTGAATCATGCTACGGATAGTTCAGACATAAGTTAGTAATTTCCTCTAAATTCGGCCTCGCCCTGGAAAAAGATACGGGACATACAGAGAAAATTGGTCACATGTGTGCAGAATTACTAATTGAGGCTAACTCTTGTCGGCCCAGGGTTTACTGGGACTTATCGGACTGTTTTCGACATAAATTGTAGGTTTCATGGCGTGGTGATACGTCGAGAAAGCAACCATGAAAATTGCATGAAATTGTCAGATCGACAAGACTTTGATAATTTTGCTACGAACCTTAAAGAATACCAAATCCATAAATGTGATAATGTAGCTTTCGGAGAAAATTATCTCAAAGACTCTGTCACAGCAGCTTGTGAAGCAGGCCTAAATCCGCACCGCCAGAGATACCCCTTAGTACATGCAAAAACGCAGTCAAAAAGTACTATTTACAAATGGCCTCTGCATTATCATGATATAATTCATGGATCGCTCCGTATGTATTTCAAGATCAGTTAATAGTTTTAATTTTAACCATTCGAAGGGAGAAAACATTTTCATCTTAAATATTTTGTTTTGTATACGCATGAAAATGGTCCTATGCGCGTCATTGAAATTTTTAGAAAATTGACAAAAGAATGCTCATTAGACAAAAAGATTATTCCCCCTGGTACGTACGATTTTGACACAATCGGGGCCCAAGAAAGTACTATCTATGATGACAAAAAAAGCTATGACTGCAGTGGTCAGATATTCACGGATAAATACATACAGGAAATCCTTTCAACATTAAAGAGCGAGATAATTGGTAGCAGTAATCCCTCGTTTAGAAGAGATAAATATCCTGTGTTAGAGGATATAGGCCAAGAAAACGCTTTAGGCGTGGTCTGGACATGGCAGCTTCGTATTCAAGAAACAGACTCTATAAGTATATTTGGACCACCACTTTTCTTCGCTTTTGCTAATCTTAAAGTATCAGAATCCAATGAAAGATACATACTAGCAATAGATAAAAATTTTCAAACCTTTAATGTATATTACGTTAGGGACCGCAAATACACTGTATGTGAACCGAAATACCAACAGGTCACCTCTATTCCAGAATATTCACCTTACAATCCTGAGTTCAACATCGAGTGTCCTGATTGCGGGCAATGCCGATACTCCACAGAATGGCGTTGTGAGAATAATTTGGCAAACCAAAAACGCCGGAAAATCCAACAGCTGGATTCAGATAATAATTGGGATAGTGGATTTGAGATCCCTAGTTGGTTTTAGGAAGCACTTCCAAACACCACAGGGGTACTATATAGATAAATTTTTAAAATTTTTGGTATATCATTAATAAATCTTGAGAGAGATACGTGAAAGATAGTATTTATTAGAATATAATTCCTTTGGACGGGCGATACAGTAGTGCTGCAAGTATAATTGAGAAAGTATAGGGTTGACAGGACGTGTATATCTCACTCCACGCCCAACATTCAAGAATGCTGCGCACATGCTCCTACTAATATGTTTCAACCAGCCTTTTTTTTTAAATCACTTAGGTGGATTCAGCTATAGAGATATGACACAAGACCAGTGCTATATATACATGTGGGATGACTCTTTTGACGTTAGAGACACTCATACTCTGGATTTCATTCGCAAATACCACTATGAGGTATGTTTGCTTACACAAACAGTCGACCCTCCTCCGTAGGTACCCACCAAAGAGAAGTTTCGAAACCGTTGGTTATCCAAGCATGCCTTCGTCATTCATGCACACCAGCGCCGCGAGAAATGTGGTTGTGTTTTGCCGGATTTGAACCAGCCATCTACTGTCTCAAGTGGGATATGTGTCAAAGCTATCCAGACCTTACATGGGAGACCGGCCAAGACGATGCACCACCGCACCATCCAACCATAGTGGTGTTCATAGTGTCGCTTGCACTCTCACAATTGAAGACGTTTTTTGCATTAGATTTTAATTGCGTATGCAGCTATCTAGCTATGAGAAGGGCAAGACTGAGCACCTGTGCGCGGTGTCCTCTACGAACCTGGGAGTGAAATATTCTTCCAGAGCCAAGTTGAGTCAAATTTCGCAATATCAAAGAAGTTGGCCCACTAGGCAAAATTTCGGATTACTCTTCCACGTCGTTTTTTCGCACCCGAGTTTAACTTCTACCTATGTCTCATCAATTCTGCAAGTACAACCCAGTACATCCTCATTCCGATGATCACACCTCTCGCCGACTTTCTTTGGCCTCAGCCGGTCACCAAATACACGCCCACGCCGATATTTATACCCAACGGAGGAAGCAAATCGTGGCGCACAAATCTGGGAAACAGTTCTTTGGGATAGACGTGAGAGGAATTAGGACAAGTTGACAAGATTATACGGAGGAAGGATATAACTTCGAAGGGCATGAGATTCTGAATTTTGGCAAGCAATTTTACGAATTGAGCTTTGTGCGCGTCAAGACTTCGCTTGCAAGAGTGCAGCTGACACTGTAAAAACAAGTCGACGATAGAAGGTGCCGTGGTCCACCTCCTGGTGGTGTTCTCCGGCATAGTCTGAGTAGCCTGGGCACCTACTCCACTTGGGAAGGAGACATCCCAGATTACATTTCGCGCGGAGAAAATTTGATGGATGATGAAGGCATGTCTGGATAACTCAGGGATTTTGAGACGTTCTCCTGGATGGGTATTCACGGATGAGGGTTGACTTGGGGTGAAGAAAAGCCGGCATAACTTCGCAGTGGTACTTGCAAATAAAATCCAAGGCATGAGTGCTCCTCTTGTAAATTGAGTCATCTTTTCTGTACTTTTCTTTGATATTGTGTCATAGCTAGATAGCTGCATACACAATTAAAATCTGATGCAAAAATAAAAATATCTAGCTATGACACAATATCAAACAAAATTTTAGAATTTAGAATAATTGGGGCTACCAAGTAGTCCTCGTTGTTGATACACGTGTAACCGCAAATTCTGTACTTACTTTCACGTCGGTAGTCACTTGAATCAATGCGCTCTACAACCTCAATGACTGAGAGGTCATTATTTCTTTAGTAGGTCCCTTAACAAAATTGTAAACATTCACTATTACTCGTACTCGTACTATTTCGTTGATAACGACTATACACAGTGATATGTCATATTGAATGTCCATTTAGCTCATCACTATTCCTAGAACTATTATTTGCCCCAGTTTGCACAATTCACCAAACAGAATAAACCTGTATTCGATTACGCCCCATGATTCAGCCTAGAACACTCGTGATTTGATAGAGCTAAGCTCGTAGTGAAGCGGCAAAAGGAGAGGATTTCTATGATTCCTCAAAACCTCTAAGATACAAATGCTAATTTTTATTTCGAATCTGTGACGGGAACCCCGAGTTGGTGATGATAATGTCGACTTAATAAACTGTATAAAGAAGAAAGAGAAATCTAGTTACAACTAACAGGTATTTATAATATTCAGCCCCTCAGTGATTGTCTTGACTGATTTCTTCACCCTAGGCCGAATACTTGCCACCCAGCCACATATTATCAAGAATCACTACGCTGTGACACTGATCTGGCCCCTTGGCTTGTAGTGCCGTATCTCCCAGTTTCCTCTATCATTTCTTACAGTCTTACAACAAGAATCTTCAACAATACGCTTAGGTATCCACATAAGCTCAGACAACGGTCAAACCGTAACAGAATCGAAATGTTACCAAAAGGTAAGCAACAAAAAGTAGATGAAGAGGTAATCAAAATAATAAGCTCCCGGATAAATCATTGTTCTCTATTATGGGTGGACAATTTTTGACTACACTCATCTCTCTCCTTTTCCTTGCACGACTATTCCTAGTTATTTCGTTCAAGTCTATTTTATGCAGATAAGAAATCAAAGAGTTGGATTCTCGGAGCTTGACAGACATTAACAGCTTATTTCGACAACCAAGGATAACAAGCAACTTCAAAATCAATTTCACCTCTTACCGATTTGCTTTATCTATAATAACTTGATTTATACTACAGATCCCGACTGTTCTTTCAACTTTGTGTAGTTCTAGACACAAGTATCGCATTAGAGAATTAACTTCAACGGCAAACAATATTTTCTCACCACCCAAAGATATAATGTGAAAAAGGCGATGATCAAATTAAGGGGGGTAAAGTCAGTTGCGGACAGTGTCATATTTTACGAAGATAGTGTAGACAGTCACTACGATTCAAAAAAGCAGAATTTATCCCTTGACAACGGCTTCTTCTACAGAAAAGATAAAACCAAATTTAGGCTCGACAGGGTGAGGAGTTTCAATGGATCAAGTAGTTCAATAAGTTCATGATTCCTGTTGTTTTTTTGTTTCTAAAATGGGAATCAAAGCAAATGAGAATAACGCAAGACCCAATATAGTTTCGGCCGCTCACATCATGCTAGGCCCAAACTCCTATGTTACCCTGATTCAGATCACAAATCTCCCAAAACTAGACTGAAAAAAAAACAATAAAATTAATGTCATCGAAGCTATTGAAGGAATAGCTATCTCAGATAAACCTCTCTGCAGCTTTCACAAATGAAATCCATAAGGAGTGAAACGGCATGGATTTGTTCTCTTTCTTGACTAGATGAGACAAATGTTAGAATTAAAGATAAAGATCGGTCCCATACCTAAACTCACCGATTGTTACAATTTAAAATCTATGATGTACGTTCACAAAGCTTAAAGCGCCAGTGTTTTTGGTCGTTCTTTCGATGAACAAGACCAACAACCTTGCAACCTTTTGGCACAAAAATGACATAATCGAAGAATTTCTCCTCTAATTTCATGGTTAGTCATAGTCAAAAGGTGTTATGATTATTCAGAATCCGCAATCTTGCCCGCTCACGCTTGAAGCTAGAGGTTTAGGAATAAACAAATTTCGAATCGTTGATTGAGTCAAGTGCGAGAGGGAATTTAGTCTCACCAGAAAATTCCTCATCTACCCGCACCATTCTCGCATCCTTGGGAAGCCTGTAATGTTTTGTTGCAGGGTATGTCTTGATGGTCGATTTGGTCCCGTTTTTGTTCTGAGGGCAGACGAGATCAACAGCTCTTCTGACAGCAGGCATTCTGTACCGCCTTGAAAGACATCGAAAGCCGACGTGTTCAGGATCAGAGCTAATTTTTTCCATCGCTTCAGCTCCTGGAAGATGGACAATGCGTGCTTGGGTAGCGACTGAAAAGAGTATGATTATAAATATGGAGACAGAGAAGAAGAAGAAAAGGAAATTTGATGCGGCTGGCATATTGATGAATATCTGAGGCTTGCTAAGTATGATGAGTATTATACTTATGACGTATTACTAAGTGTTATGAAAGCTGAACGAAATTTGTAAAGTCAGAAGTGCTTAATGAGCTGGGAAAGATTTTTATGATCATTTCAAAACCCGAGTAGAGAATAGAGCTCTTATACACAAGTTTGAGGCCAGTTTAGAGCACCAATATGGCTGGATCGAGCTAATCCATCGCTTTTTTCTTGCCATCATGACAAATATTGATCAATGGGATATGAAATTTGAGATGTCACACATTGTAGCTCTAGATGAAACTTAGATACAATAACGGATATGCGCTTTCCGTAGATTCTTGCGACATCGAATAGTCTACATCCTAAAGGGCTCTAGATTACCCCACTTTTCTGCGAAGTGCTGCCGAGATGTTATCGATTACGTGCTAAAATATTACACGAGAGGCATTTTTGATGGTTTTGATACTGTCCTTGACCTAAACAATATTTTTCGCCACCGGATCTTATTCCCTTACCGAAACTGAAGCTGCCGGGCTTGGATGTGGTCTGGGACGAAGGTAGTTAAGCTAGTTTATTTGAGAATATTTTTGCCGTTTGCGCCGGCAAAGACAGATTCTTCAGTTTCCAGAGGTGCCGATGTAATTGATTAGAGTGCTCGTCATCGTTAGAATTGAGCAGGAAAATCGCATCCGAATTGAAGTCGAAAGCAATGTCAACCATATCTAAAATCGATCACTTCTCATCGATGTCGCGTTTATCCTCCTCACACGAGTCCTTAACTTTCCCATATACCACCTCGCCTCAACCACTGAATAAGTTGTCTCACCAACTACAAAAACAAATTTGCCTCATCAAAAATCGGCCATCTCCAACCATAAAGTTACGATGCTCGGTTTACCCGCGAGGAGGAGGATTGATAGATTGATTTAAATTTAAGTCTCTACTGAGTCCCAGACTATGAAAGACTACTTAAAGATCTACCTATATAACTATTCAATTATTAGGTTAAGTTTTTATTTGAATATTACAATTATATGTCGGTTGGTCCTGAGGGACATGCCTTACCCGCGAGGAGGAAGCCAAGTCATAATATACAAAGTTCCGATCTTGGTCTTTGGGGGATCTTTACTACAATACGAGGTCGGCTAGAGGCTTAATAGTGAAGTTGTTGCTCGTGTGTAATTGGAGTATGGTCTATAAAAACTATGCTTGTATATGATTGATTGATACTAGCAGAGATGCTTCGCACTCTATGATGTGTTGGAAGATTGAAAATGTTTAGGAAAGATGGTCGAAGCGCGCGCTCTCAAATAAAATGAAAGAAAATCATTTCGCGAGCCTGGCGGGAGCTTGCGCGTAGATGAAAGGGAAATGAAATTTCGAAAATTTGCATATAAACTTTCAAGAAATATTTATGAACTAGGAGCGCGCAAAAGACTGGTTTTTTTTTGACAGCAAGTTTAAATGACTCTCACGGTATTTCGTGTAACCGTGGATACAACTCAATCCTTTTCTGCAGCGGTTCCGGAAGAAATTTGCTGGAGGACAAAGATTTTACACCTGTACGTCACTTCTCCGATGAGCCTGTGAGGGATGTATTCTCCTAGAGCCAAATTCAGTTAAATTCTGCGATAGCAAAGAAGTTAATGCACGAGGCAATGATTCAAGACATTCTACCAATTCAATTTTTCTTCCCATCGACTCCGACTCCGACTCCAGCCTAAACCTCATCAATTCTAAAAGTACTGCCTATTACATCGTAATTTCAATGAGTAAACTTCTCCACGACTTTCTTTGGCCTCAGTTGGCCACCAAGCATACGCCCACGCGGATATTAATACCAGAAGGAAGAAATAAAGCGTGGTGCACAAATCTGTGAGGCAGGTTTTTTTGTTAGAACGTGGAAGAGATAGGTACAAGTTTACAAGATGATATAGAGGATGGGCCCAATTTCTACGGATATAAATATGTGAATCTTGGCGAGAAGTTCTTCAAAATGAGCTGTGTGCGATATACGACTTGGATTGCCAGAGTGCAGGCAACCATATAAACACCGCCATGGCTGGATGGTGCTGTGATACATCATCTGGTCGGTCTCTCAAGTAACGTCTGGACAGCTTGGAAACCTATCTCGCTCGAGATAGGAGATCGCTGGTTCGAATCTGAAAAAACTGATCCGAATAGAAGTCAAAAGCAAACACAAAAATATCTCTATTTGACGACTTATCAATCATTCAGCACTTACCACTCTCCTTTGAGTCTTCAACCTCTTTTTAACCACATATCATCTCGCCTCAATGATCGATAAAGCCATCACCCCAATTTCAAACAGGAGCTCGTCTCATTCATTACTGACCATCATCCACTACAAATTTACGACGCTACGTATCAATAGGGAACAACAAGTCTTAGATGGTTCATTTGGGTGAGTTTAAGTATGTGATGTTAACTTGGGAAAATCGTCATAGCTACATAGCTGAATACAATATAATTTTTTTAAAAAAAGATGCTATCTATACCAGTTACGGCCTCGCCTCAACCTGGCCCTAGGTACAATAGCGTGAGTACATGTGGTACGTGCACGTCAGCATATAGTCCCTGTCCGCCTCTAGATACTCTCTCCTTATAGCCAATCTACTTCTTTCATCTCTACATTAGAGCTGCCTTCCTGCCACTTTCTCTTCTCGTGATTATACCCGCGAGGAAGTTGAGTCAAAAAAAACAAAGCCTCGATCCTGGCTTATGTAGGACTGTTGCTCTAATGGGATAAACAACTTGAGGGAGGATAGGAGGCTGAGGTGTGGAGCGAGAGGGGAAGCTGTTGCGGTTTGACCGTTGTTCGAGCTTAGGCGAATACCTAAACCTAAAATTGAGAGTTCTTGCGATGGGGCTGTATGGGGGGGGAGATGAAGCTGAACGAAACGGCACTACTAGTCAGGAGGCTGAAGCGTTACTACAATTAGTGACACCTGGAAATATGTGGCTGGGTAAGAAGTATTGTGCCTAAGGACAAGTCACTAGTCTGTAGATTCATGAGGAGGATCAACTCTTATAAATACCTGTTAGTAGTAGCTAGAGTTCTCTTTTCTCCTCATATAGCTTAATAAATCGATTTATTCATCACCGACTCGGTTTTCGTCACAGGAACAGGTCTTTGAAGGCCATGCTGTGACTGAACTTTTAGATGGGTTTTCAACTTTGGATTTTTAGTGAGCGCCAAGATCAAGATTTCGGCTAATTAGCCAGGAGGACTTTAATTGTCGATGAGTCGACGGCACTTCCCAGCGCCTTAGACGGTGGAAAAGAAGTTGGGCTAAGCTACCATACAGCAATCACGCTCTGTCAAGACTTTTTTGACATTTCAGCACGACCTTCGGGAAGGAGGCAGGAAAGGTACGGGGTGAATTTCCCGAGGTACACACAAGTCTGCAGCGCCCCGCTGGCCGGCCTCTTCGAACGCTTTCGGTATTAGGAGAGCTCCACACCCAGCGGCTCTTGCGATTTTTCCCGGCTGCCATACACCCGCAAATGGCCATCGTTTCGATGGCTGGAGAGGGGAGATAATGAAGGGCAAAGGGCTCCTCTAAGTGTATGATTGAATGAGGGGTTGCGAGGGGCGGTACTGTTTGAGGGGAGCTGTATGGAAGGCATAGGAGGGGATATACTACTGGCATGGTTATCCTTGACCTGTAGGCAGAGAGGAACTGCGGATCCTACACATATTTTTTTAAGCATATCACTTAGCGTGTTTTTAGCCCTCTAGCTATGACACATGCTGGAAGACACTCTTGACGTTAGAGACACTCATGCTCTGGATTTCATTTTCAAATACCACTATGAGGTGTGTCTGCTTATACCAACAATTAGTCCTCCATGTTTAACCACCCGAGTGGGTGACAAAAGCATTGTTTGTCTGAGCACGCTTTCGTCAACTGTATACACTTATACCGCGACAAATTTAGGCATGTTTTGCCGGTTTCGAGCCAGCGATCTACTATCTCGAGTGGGATAAAAGTGCCCAAGCTATCCAGACGTTACTTGGGAGGCTAGCTAGATGATGTACCACCGCACCATCTAGCCATGGCGGTGTCAAATGTGTTGGCTGCATTATCGCAATCGAAGCCTTCTTTTGTATCAGATTTTAATTGCGTAGGAAGCTATCTAGCTATGACACAATATCAAAGAAAAGTACAGAATAGATGATTCGACGTAAAGGAAGAGCACTCATGCCTCGGATTTCATTTGCAAGTACCACTGCGAAGTTATGCCGGCTTTTTCTTCACTCCAAGTCAACCCTCATCCGTGAATACCCACCCAGGAGAACGTCCCAAAAACCCTGAGTTATCCAGAAATGACTCCAGCATCCATTAACTTTTCTCCGCGCGAAATATAATCTGAGGTGTCTCTTTCCCAAGTGGAGTAGGTACCCAGGCTAGCAACCGAAGTCGTATGGCGCACAAAGCCCAATTTGCATAACCCCTTTCTGAAATTTAGATTAGAGAAAATTAGATTTTATCACAGTGATATCTGAGTCAATTACTATGGAAGACTTCTAAAATCTACATGAATGAAACTTACTGTATTTGATTAAATTAATCATGATAACTTTGAATTATTTTCTCGTAGACAGTGAGGGATAAGCCCTGTTTCTGAAATCTAAATCTCATCTCTTTCGAGATTATATCCAACTTTCGTGTAATCTTGTCCGCTTGTCCCTATCCATCTCACGTCCATCTCAAAAACACCTGCCTCATAGATTTGTGCGCCACAATTGTTGTCCTCCGGCGGGTATCCATATTCTTGTGGGCGTGTACGTGGAGGCCATTTGAGGCCAGAGACTGACTTGATGAGAGGTGTGGTCATTGAAGTAAGGATGTGCTAGGTCGTACTCGTGGACCTGATGAGGCTCTGGCCGGAATCGATCTCGTTGGGAGTGAAAAATTGACTTGGTTGAGAGTTGTGGATCAATGCCTCTTGCGCCAACTTGGTCTGTTTTGCGAAATTTAACTGAACTTTGCTCTGGGAGAATATTTCGCTATCAGGTTCGTAGTGGAGATAGCGTATAGGTTGCAGTTTTTGCCCTCTTGCACCGATCTCGGATGCACGGCATATGAACAAAACTATAATTGTCTGATGGCCTGACATGTAAGATTTCTCGCACAATCACAATAGGAGATCTCAGTGGTGTTTGAGGGTAAAGAGAGGATTGGAGTACAAATATATTCAGAGATACAGAGATACTACGCTTAGAGTACATAGAATCCACGTATCAGTCTAAAGCTCTTCATAAGATCGGTGGTAGCTAGGAACCACACGACACAATGCCATCACCTTTGAAACTTCTTATCACAGCCTCCATTACTCACTACCTTTGACACGGTGGTGAAATCTGAGGTCGTCCGGTTATGCAAGGGAGACACAGATTAAATTCGAAGTCTAATTTGCTGTTTCTTGGCTGGAAGATTTAAAAACTATGCAATACCATCAATTTTATTTCCGAGATACCATTATATGCTGTATGGGGAGTTGGATACCTCAACTACTTGAGCAGTTATCCGTAGAATCTGTTATGATCTGGCATTACAAGCGTGTATGGGCTTCGATCGCTACTTGAAGGTGAAATTCTGTAGTAAATTGAACGAAAACTAACAACTGACCCCTTAAGGAGTTTGAAAATCTTGCTATTTGTAGGAGATTTGATGCCCGGTGCTGACTTACCCATCTTTGTCTAAAGCAAAGTGATTGGCATCGTAATGCTTAATTAGGTGCGTGTGATAAAATTTATGCCATTCCCTCTTTCGGATACATGAATCATTCAGATCGGCTTGGCACGTAGTGTAGAGCTCTTGTATAGATAAGTGATTCTTTGAGATGCGGTCTGGCGAAACACTTTTCCTTCCCTCTTTATATCAAGATTCTCTGAGATGAGAAATCAGCTTTTCTGCCACGTAGTTGTGCTTCTCAACGCGTTTTCTCATCTTCATTCTACCTCAGCATCTCCGAACTCCCAAGATGTTGTATATCTCGGAGATATTATGGGTGATTTTCTTTGCGATAACAATCTCTTCACCAGCGAGAAGGTTAGGCGCAGTTACAATGCAGGTTGTAGTGCACTGCAAAACGATTATTTTGAAAAGGAGTTCCGGCCAAACTGGAAGATCACCATCTCGACGGTAGAACACAGAAACCTTTATTCACATGGCCATTGAAGGGGTCTATGGGAACATTTGATAAAAGTTAGTTATTCCCACCAAAGTCGGAAAGTTTATGAATAATTATTTAACACATCCAAAAATACTGGGTTATATATATATATATATATATTCAGATTAACTAATTTAAATTTACTGTTGTTGGTATAGGAGCTATTGGATCTTTCCGGACTGTTTTCGATTTAAACTGTAGATTTTATGGCGTCATAGTACGTGGAAAGACCAGTCACAGATCTTGCATTGAGTTATCAGACCATGTCAATATCAATGCGATAAGTCCTGTCTCAAACATATATAGGGGCTACCAATGTCGAAATATGATATTCGAAATACCTTATGTTCAAGCATCTCTCACAGTAGCACGCGAAAAGAATTTAAAAAAGAAGAAGCCTAATATATATCCTATTAAGATATCACAGCCAGGTGTAGATGGGGACAAGTATGAATGGCCTTTATGTCGAAAAAATAACATCTACGGGCCTAACTGTAGGAGAACTTCAAAATCAAAATATAGTTTGGATTCTAACCATTTCAAGATAGATCGAAGCACGGTCATAAGTATTATGTTTCTTATTCAGATAGGAGTGATGCTATACAGGTCATTGATAAATCCAATCCTATATGGAGAGTATGCCCGTTGATAGCAAGGACAATTGTGTCTGGCAATCACAAATCAGATTCCATCAGCGCCCTCGAACATGTTGTCCATGATAACAAGAAAAGCTATGACTGCGGTGGTCAGATATTCACAGATTACTATGTACAAGAAGTATACACCACGATGATGAAAGCGATATCAGGCAGACAATTATCTGACCTCAACAAACATTATCATCATAGGTTCGTGAAAGTAGCTCAGGTAGATGCCACAAACAAAATCTGGATTTGGCATCTTCGCATTACAGAAACAGATTTCCAGTGTATTTCTATCCCTTCTTAATTCATGGGTTCTGCTAATGTTAAAGATTCCGAGGCTAAAACTGGCTACATCCTTGCAATGAGCCAAAAATACCAACTTATCGGTGTATATAAAGTTAGGAAGGGAGTGTATGTTCAATGTAACAAGAAACATGACTCGACCGGTTATTCGACAAAAGGCACTGTTTTTGACGTTGACTTGAACGAAGATTATGCCCACTGTGAGCGTTGTAAAGATGACACTGGATGTGGTTGCGAAGAAACCTTACATGACCCAAAACGCCGGAAAATTTTATGAAAAAGCTTCAGGGAGAAAGCTGACCTAAATCTACCGGTTAATACCACGGTATACTTTCCTTTGTAACTCGGTTGTAAGCTAGCAAAGAGAATAATTAATAATATGAACAAACATTCACAAAGATATTGTAATGAACGTTTATTTCCACAAGATCAACCGAATATTCTGTCCTTTGCCGGATTTGGAGTAATTTCAGACCATCTTCCGGAGAGATATAGATATATTTATTGTCACAGTTTGGTCTACGACTCTCTATTACATTGGGCTCCTCTCTGGAGCAGGCCACGCCTTGTACAGTGGTCCAATACTCTTTTGTTACTTCAAAGATCATTGGTATATTGCCCGTGATGAATAGATGTTCAGCTCAGAAATCACCCGTGGAATTCAGACACCTTTTCTATGGGACCTTTGACCCAAAAAAATTGTAGCAATGGAAACTGCGTGCGCGTGAAAAAGAATTGAAAAACTTGTGGCCCCAGCCAGGCGAGGCCTAGACAAACTCGCAATATCAAAGAAGTTGGCCCACGAGGCAATGATTCAAATTACTCCACCACATCGCTCTTTCGCTACCAACGAGTTTGACTCCTACTTAGGTCTCATCAAGTCTACAAGTACGACCTAGTACATCCTCATTCCAATGACCACACCTCTCTTCGACCTTCTCTGGCCTCAGTAGACCACCAAATACACGCCGATATTTATACCCGCCAGAGGAAGTAAAGCGTGGAGCACAAATCTGGGAGATAGCTCTTTGGGATGGACGTGAGAGGGATCATGGCAAGTTCACAAGCTGATGCGAAGGAAGGTTATAACCTCGAAGGGCATGAAACTCCGAATTTTGGCAAGGAGTTTTACGAATTCGGCTTTGTGCGCGCCAATACTTCGCTTGTCTCGAGGAGTGTGTATGCTATTTGTCCACAGAGTACAAGTGTGAGTAAATAGGGGGTCAAGGTCTTCCACATGAAGGGATAGATAGCACGTCGTGATCTGGTACGAGTACGGACTCGAAGTGGTCTTCACAAGGAAGAAATGGAATATCTAAATTGAGAATAATATTGAGAAGACGTTGCGTGAAGAAGGCAACTCGACTGGAGGCTACGCTTTATTATGTACATGCTCGTAGTTCACTGTTACGTTACCTTTCCCTACTCAGGCCTGCTAGATTTGTATGCTTATAGTAAACTATCATTCTAACCCCTGTTATTATTCAGTAAAATCTTGCGAGAGTGCAGTTGACATTATAAATACAAGCCAATGATAGAAGGTGTTGTGATCCGCCCCCTGGTGGTGTTTTCCGGTATAGTCTGAGTAGCCTGGGCACCTACTTCACTTGGGAAGGAGACATCTCAGATTATATTTCGCGCGGAGAAAAGTTGATGGATGACGGAGGCATGTCTGGATAACTCAGGGTCTTTGGGACGTTCTCCTGGGTGAGTATTCACGGATGAGGGTTGACTTGAAGTGAAGAAAAAGCCGGCATAGCTTCGCAGTGGTACTTGCAAATGAGATCTGAGGCATGAGTGCTCTTCCTTTACGTCGAATCATCTATTCTGTACTTTTCTTTGATATTGTGTCATAGCTAGATAGCTGCATACGCAATTAAAATCTGATGCAAATAAAAAAAAGATGGGTTGACAACAGCTTTAGAGCATAATATTGCCTCAACTTCCTCACTACTGGACAGATCATGCTCTGATAGATAAATGTGAGATTGGACAGAGTTAATTCTTAGAGAAATAAAAGCAGCAATACCAAACAAGAAGACAGCCCCAGGCATAGACCAGCTAGATTGAACTATCATCAAAGCTGCCATGGAATGTGTCCCAACTACATTTTTCAAGGCACACAACTATCTATTCAACAGTGGTCAACATCCTAGCAGATGAAAGCAAGCAATTGGATTTATTCTACCCAAACAGAATAAGAAAGACTACTCAGAGCCGAGGGCATACCGCCCAATTTCCTTGTTTCCATGTCTATCAAAACTGTTGGAGTGTGACGGAAACCAAGTTGGTGATGAATAAATCGATTTAATAAACTATATGAGGAGAAAAGCTAACTCTAGCTACTACTAACAGGTATTTATAGGAGTTAATCCTCCTCGTGAATCTACAGACTAGTGACTTGTCCTCAGGCTCAATACTTCTACCCAGCCACGTATTTCCAGGTGTCACTAAGTTGTAATGACGCTTCAGCCTCCTGAGTAGTAGTGCCGTTTTGTTCAGCTTCATCTCCACCCCCATACAGCCTCATTGTAAGGATTCTTAGTATCCGGCTTAGGTATCCACCTAAGCTCAAACAACGGTCAAACCGTAACATTACCCCCCCGTTTACCCTCTCCTCTTCTCTTTCCTTAATGCTGGCCCATTATTTTTCTCTGCAGAACCCCACTTTTTCTCCCAAACGTCTAGAGCTACAGCATCTTGCAAATTTATCAGTGATGTCCACTCTGGCTGTGCCATTCCAGTCCACTTCACTAAAGCCTGTCGCTCCCCCTTTTTTGTTCTGCACCTAAGCACTTCGTCAATCTGGTACTCTTCTTCGCCATCATCACTAGTGATTGGTCCTGGGTTTTCATCTTCTAGTATTTGTGAAGGCAACGGATTTTCTTCTGCAGGTATGAGCAAATCCACATGAAATTTATTATGAACTTTTCCCGGTATATTCAGTTGCACTACCTCAGGCGAAATTATTTTTGTGACAGTATACTTTGCATGCTGCCAGCCTAATTTTTTGGAAGGTTGATCTTCCAATCTAATATTCCGTAAAAGGAGCCAAACTTTATCACCGATTTCGTACCTTGGTGCTGGCTGTCTCTTCTTATCTGTCAAATCTTTATATCGTTCCTGAATGGCTGCCATGGCAGATTGCATAAAAATGGTGACCTTTTCTAACCTTTCGACAAATTGTTCAGCCCTTTCTTTTCCTGTAGATGCTGGAATGATTGACTGATTAGTAACAATTTGGATGGGGTTCACATGATATCCGTGTGTCGCAAAAAATGGACTTATGCCGCCTAAGGATACAACATCTCGATTATTTATAGCAATTTGAGCAGCAGCAAGTGAATCAGACCAATCATGTTGGGTGTAGGAAATATATGCTCGCAGGTATGTTTGAACTTCCTGGTTCATTCTTTCCGTTGCTCCATCGGTTTGAGGGTGATAGGCTGTGCTCAGCCTCTGTTCAATTCCAACTAACTCGCACAATCGTTTCCAGAATTTACTCGTCCAATTTGACCCTCTATCGCTAGTTAATGCTTTTGGGAATCCATGGTAACGCCAATGACATTCTATAAATCGTTTTGCGCAAGTTTCTGCATCCATTTTGTCCATAGCCTCCAGTGTCACTGATTTCAACAGTCTATCAGTGATTACCATGATATTTGTTGCGCCGTTTGATTTAGGAAGTTCCACCATAAAGTCAATGGAAAGCTCTTGATGGAATCTATCAGGTACCGGTAACGGTTTCAGAAGCCCCTGTTTCTGGTGTCGCCAAATTGATGACCTTCCGCACACGTGACAATTTTTACAGAACCGTTTGACTGACTTGCTTATTCCCGGCCAGAAGTATTCTCTAGCGACTTGTGCAAGCGTCGCATCTCTTCCAGGATGGCCAGTGACGGCTGAGTCATGAACGTTCTGTATAATTGCCGTTGTAAGAGGTTCATAGAGAGGCAACCATATCCGACCTTGGTAACGAACTACCCCAACATCATCGTCAAATTCGCAAGCAGCGATCATTGCTTTAATCGGAGTAGGCTCATTTGAACCTTCTATTTGCAACTTGATGTCTTTGGGCCATACGCGCTCTCCGCTTTGTACCGCCTTAGCGACTTGGACATATATTTCATCGTTTTTTATTGCTTGGTTCCAAAGCTCCTTTAAATCTTCGTTGGCGAATATTTCATGGCCTTCCGCTAGATTAATATTGCCGACACACAACTTTGACGCATGGATTGGCGTTAAGACTTGGCGCTCGCGACTCAAAAGTCGAGGATCACCTTCCTTAGGTCTATCTTGATCCCTTCTTGAAAGTGCATCCGGACGTTCATTCTCTGCACCTTTCCTATATACCAGTGTATATCTAAATCTGGATAGGAATTCAGCCCATCGAGTTTGCCGTTCTGTCAACTGTCTTGTAGTTAAAAAATATTTCAGATTCATGTGGTCGCTTAGGATAGTAAAAGCCTGTGCTAAACCTCTCAATTCTGCATCCCATTCCTTCATACTTGCTACAATGGCTAGAAGTTCTTTGTCATGAATTTCATAATTCATTTCGGCTCCAGTTAACTTCCTGGAGTAGTATGCTACTGGTTTCCATGTGGTGTTTTCTTGTTTCTGCAACAAACAGCCACCAAGCGCAAAACCAGAGCAATCTGCCTCCAACATTGTTTCTCGATCGGGATCCCATTGGGCTAGAGCGGGCTCGGCAACAAACTTTTCCTTTAGCAATTCAAATGCATCATCTTGTTCAGAGCCCCACTTCCAGGGTGTACCCTTGCCTGTTAGAGATGTTAAAGGTGCGCAAATTTTTGAAATTCCTTTGATAAAGCCACGGTAGAAATTTGCAAACCCCAAAAAACCTCTCAGTCCCTTTGTCGTTGTGGGTGCTTGCCATTCCGATATTGCCCGAACCTTCGCTGGATCCATCTTGACCGAGGAGTTCCCACTTTCTGAAGATATTATAAAGCCCAAGTATTTTGTCTCTTTGACACTAAACTCACACTTGTCAATATCCAATCCTAGACCAGCTTTCTGAAGCTTTTTAAGTACCAGCTGTACGTGTCTTTGATGTTGCTCTTCATCTCCGTTGGTGAAGATGAGAACGTCATCCACATAAGCCGAACAGAAATCATCGAGGTACTCACGTAAGGCTTCGTTAATGTATCTCTGAAAACTTGCTGGTGCGCCATTCAACCCAAATGGCATAACAAGCCACTCAAATAACCCAAATCGTGTTCTAAATGCAGTTTTCCATTCATCGCCTTCCTTGATGCG